GACGCCAGCACCAATGTAGATGCATGCCAGACGCAAGCTTTCAGAGGTCTAAGATCTACTCTGTTGGGACAGTACTCAAACCAGGATGGCTTCTTGTGCACACAGAAGTGGAAAAAGTTCTATTTCTCTGGGGTCTTCTGGGGCCTCCGTTCTTGGTGTTTTCATTGAGATGCTGCTGTATTAACTATCTTGCCTTGGAAATTTGAGTCACATTTCACCCTAACAGCGGCTCTCGACCCTGAGCACTTTCTGTACCACCTGAAGGAGTTTCATAAAATTCCTGATCTCTGGACACCTGACCTGTTATATCAGATTCTCTAGAGATGAGTCCTGGCATGCGTATTTTCTAGAAACACCCTGCTTGTGTAACTTAAATGTAGAGCCAATAAACTGAAGCACCCTGTGGAAGTAGTTCAGTTGTTAAGCGCTTGTCTAGCATGAGAGATAAGATGTCCTGGATCTGATTCCTAGCACTGGGGGTAAAAACCAAAAACAAAAAACCAAAAACAAATGGACAAAGCTGACACCCAAATGGTTTATTAATGTTCACTTGGGTTTTAAAAATTCTTAAGCCTTTGGAAACAGACAACTCTACTAAATTCACACCAAAGACCTTTTGGATGGTAATGGAAAAATATTTGAAATGTCAGTCATTTGGCCACACATTCTTTAGAAACCAAGTTGATGGTTTTTCTAATGGAGACTGAAAAAATTCCTTTAGTGTGAGAACTGCAAAACCTGACAAGGATCAGGTCAAAGGTTACATGCCTGGACCATCTAGAGCATTGTTCTGCCAACACACACACACACACACACACACACACACACACACACACACACACACTCACTCACTTAATGGCCAAGAAGATGCCCTCTTCCAGATTATTTCTAAAATCCTTTGCAATTATACAAGTTCCATGACCACCTGTGAGCAACAACTGAGGATATATATCATATATAACACACACACACACACACACACACACCCTTCCTGTTTATTTTTTCGGTTCTTAACTCCCATTATATTTGAACTTTGTTCACAATAAGCCTCAGCCTACTTAATTTCACTTCTACCTAGATGTTGCAGAGGAACGAGTAGGTCAGAGCCTGGATCTGGGTTAGCTATAAATGTGACAGAGCTGTCAGCTGCTGTCTATCAGTGCTGCAGCTCCAAGTACCCCAGTGTCAACGGGGTGAGGTGCCAGCTGCAGAGCACAGATATGCAGTGGAGAGCTAAGTGAGTTGGGAAAGGCCACTGTGAGCTAGACATTTACTCTGAGAGGAGAACTTGGGATTTGGAGTGTCCACTCAGGGACATTTGGGATGATCTTGCATGGGTAACTGTCTACCTGCTACATAGACTATGATCCATTTCTGATGAGGACATTGAGATACAGTAAAATGCCTCCTTATGGCTTTCTAGTAGCATCCCAGACTCAATATATCATTTTGATTCCTTACCTGTCCTTATGCACATGCTTCTGCACACATAAATTGTCCAGAGTAGTGTCAAATGAATAGGGAGGTACCCAGAGACGACTGGGAAAAGGGGTCAAGCGTGTCCCACACATTCTATTACTCTAGTGGCTACCAAGACTGGATTAGGCAGCACAACCATCTGCATATTTCTAGAACTGGATTCCCAGTCAGATTTCATAATTAGATTTGGAGATGGAAATAAGTTCCTGTGCTTTGATAGGCTTTAAGGAGCCTGGGTTGTTCAGACATATAGCCCAATCATGAATTAACAACCAGGCCAGTGCTACAGAGAATACACTTCTTGACATTCTTTTTGTTATTTTAATTAATTAATTTTTGGGGGCGGAGTTTGAGACAGGGTTTCTCTATATAACAGCCTTGGCTGTCCAGGAACTCACTTTGTAGACCAGGTTGGCCTCAAACTCGCAGAGTTCTACTTCTGCCTCCCAAGTGCTGGGATTAAAGGCGTGCACCACCAACGCCCAGCAGTAAATTGATTTTTTTGACACAGAATCTCACAAGTTGTCCAGTCTGGCTTTGAACTCTCAATCTTCTTGCCCTATCCTCCTGCCCTGCTGGGATGACAGGCATGTGCTATGGTGCCCAGCCAGTTCTTTTGACTTCTTACCAAGGTCTGGCTTGCCAGTGTAGAGCTTTTCATAGAGAAAGGTGTGGTCTCGGAAGCTCTGGAGCGTGTTCCCCATGGCTATGATGGACACCATAACCAGCCAGCTTCGTAACACGTTCAGGAAGCGGCTCATGACTCCCCTCAGAGAGAGGGTGCTCTGCCCTGGAAACAGAGAGGGCACGATGAAGGTACTTCCTTGTCAATCACACGTTCTCTCACCTGTGGCTAATCTGCGGCTTGAGTGACACCAGCAGAGCACCTCACAGGTTCCTTTCCAAGTCCTCTGGGCCCACCCTACTTTCTTGCCACACCACTTTAAGACACCCAGAAATATTTAACCTAGGCAGAGCATGCTGATCTTTGTTCAGAGTGACAGGGGATAAGAAAGAATGCAATGGGTGGAAATTTCAGCAGGAAAGAAACGGCAAGAAGGGGTGTCTTCTAGAAAGTAATAGAATGGATTGCTGGGGTAAAGCTCCAGATGCTGCCAATACTCAGTCACTCTAACGAGCGTGGGTGAAAAGCACGCCTTGCAGCAGGGTGCACAGCATTTACCTATGCTCCAGTAATCCCACAAAGCACAGTGCTGTAAGTCAGACTTCCCTCCCCTTGTCTGGAATCAGTACTATGCTTTCCTCTCTTCACTCCATTCCTTTGCAATACAAGTGGCTCCACGGTTGCTCAACTCAGATACCTGGATACTGAAGATACTTTCTTCCAAATTATAGAGGCTGCACTGACCATTGAGTGGAAGTTATGGTGTGACTGTCCATCTTAGTTTTTCTCTGCTTGGCTCCCAGATACATCATGTTGCATAAACTAAAACAACCTAAAAGATTTTTAAAAAGACGTCCACGGCTTGGTGTTGGGTTGCAGGAAAAACTACACTAGTTATCAGTTGTGGGGTACTTGTTTCCTATACTTGCCCCACATATCTAACATTGTATTCCACTGACACCTACATCAGGATAGGCAGGCACTATTAGTATTTCCATTTTACAAGTGGAGGTCAGAAGAAGCAGCTAAGTGATTTGCTTAGGTTACATGGCTAATATATGACAGAGTGTCATGGGCTGTTGGGACTCTGGAAATACTACCTCCCTGAGAACATTTTGATGAAGTTCCCATCTTAAAAAAATATTTATTTACTTGTTTTGAGACAGGATTTTTCTATGTATCCCTGGTTGGCCTGCAACTCATTACATAGACCAGAGTGGCCTTGAACTCACAGAGATCCACCTGCCTCTTCCTTCTTAGTGTTGGAACTAAAACCATGTGCCACCATGAGCACCAAAGTTTCAATTTTTTGAGGAAGCTAAACACACCAGAAACACTTCAGATGGCAGAAGAGCCAGTTTCTATACTTTTTGTTTAGATCAAGTTTTGCTGAGTAGCGATTTCCATCAGTTTGGTCTAAATGGATGCCATAGAGATAATTTATCATGATCATCATCATCATTTTGGTCCTTCATTTACCTGTTGTCAGGCTACCATCTTTGGCCTGAAAGTTGTAAGAAACTTATCCGGCTGCCTTTATCACTGCGGTAATATGTTTCAGTATGATTCCATACACCCAGCAAGTGTAAGTGAAGTGACCAAAATCCAACTAAAAAGGACTTCAAGAAAGGAATCGTGAATTCAGGGGAAACAGAGGCCCCAAACGCTGACTGTCCCAGTCTAGAGACTGCTGAACCTCACAGGCACTCACAGCCTAGGCCAAGCCCACTTCTCTTTATTTTTCTCCTCTCAACACCAGACTCAGTTTGGGTTGGTAAAAAAGCTGCACACACATACTCCCTTTCAACAGAACGCAGAATTTATTCCTTCCATTCTACAGATCTTAGAAATTTCAGCACCGAGCTGATGAAGACCCAACCAGAGTATTTCTGTATTGTTTTACTCAAAACCATTCTGTATTGTTTTACTCAAAACCATTTCCCTGAAGTTTTGAGGTGGTGGGAGGGGCGGGGTTCACAATATCAATTCCAAAATTTTGTCCAGACCCAGTTCAGCGTTGAAATGCTAATTAGCAACCAATAAAGAGAGATTCCTATTCTAGCTCCACCACTCGGTTCTGGGGGGGGGGGGGGGTCTCAGGAAAGTCATTGAGACTCCATAGCCTCGGTTTTCCCGTAAAATGGGGACATAAACGTCTATCTCAAGGGTTAACAGAGAATTTCATGAGAAAAAAGAGAAAGCTCCTTGCACACAGCTAGGTTCACAGTGACTGCTCTCGGTCATTCATCTGTCCGCAGAATTTACAAAACCCTCTCCATTTTCCTAGCATCCCCTTGGACATCGTTTCTTGACTCCTTTCCCTCCCAAAAGGTAGCTTTCCAGGCAACCCCCATTTTCCTAAATTCTGCATATAGACTCATTCGTATGCAACACGAACACCTACACCGCATTCCAAATTCTCATACCTGAAGACCCAGTACTACTGCAGCAAGAGTATCAGCAGCGTCCACAAACCAGCTCCCCCAGGACAGCTCCACTGCCAGGTCCACCGAGGGTGTCCCCGCCCCCACCCTCAGCCCAGCTCTAGGATTGGGTCGTTGCTGTCAGTCCTCACTCCGATTGGCTGGGCTGGTTCAGTTCGAGCAGGCGATAGGGAGTGAACCCCTTTGCTGCCAATCAGCGGTTGCCGCCGCCTAAGCCTTTCCCCGCTACGTCGCTCACGCGGTAAACCCGTCTGTCGAGTCTGGCGAAACTCTGGGTTTGGAGTCAGCCTTTTAGGGGTGGGGAAAACGCGGAAAGAAAAGAAGCCAAGAAATCCTTCGGGCTACAGCCGGGCTCTGCGCCGGCGCCTGGGCGCGCCGTGGTGACGCCATCTGTCTGCGTCCGCAGCCGAGCGTTGTTCGCGCCGCTGGCAGGCGCCTGCGCAGTGGCTCCGAGCGGGCGGTTGCTTGTTGGTTGTTGTAGTAACGGGGGAAGCAGCCTTCGGCGGCTGCGTTGATTCCGGCTGGGGAAGGAGGAGGGAGGTGAAACAGAGCACGGTCCCCGCCTGCCCGCCCCGAGCCATGAGAAGATGAGACAGGTAAACGCCTGTCGGGCGCGCTCCGGGGAGGTGCGCTCCTAGGCTGGGCGAGCGCCGCTGCGCTTCCTTCCTACCCCGGAGCTGCTGTTGGCTTCCGGGCGTGCTGGGCTGAAGCGCTGCGGCACAGTCGCTGCGTCCTTGCCGGCGTAGCACCTGCGGAGCTGCCTGGGTTGGGGTGAGCTGGGGTGGAGCTGGCGGCAGATCCCGGTAGGGACAAGGACTTCCTTTGGCATAGTGTCTCTGGTCGTCAGAGTGCCTGATCTCGCCCTGCTCATCAGGGAGCCAAGGGAAGGTGGGCATCCTTCCTGCTTGGAGGTTTTAGTTGAAGTTAAAAGACTCTTAAGCGTTTTGGGAAAGATGGTGAAATTCCCTTAGGAATTATCCGAAAAGAATCACCGAGGCTGTTAGATGCTAACCACTTCAGCTGAAGATGAGTAGAGTCGGGCTTAGTTGCTGTTGCTGTTGCTGCAGTTTCGTTTGTTTAGAGTCTTACCGTATATGAAAATGCATAGACAAACAAAAGTTTGGAAAATTACTCAGTTATCTTTGAGTAATGAGCGTTTTTACTATGTGTTTCTCTTTCTTCTCCAACAATGAGCATGAACTTTTCCTCCATAGAAAAGAGATTGAAGTTAGAAATGCAGAGTTGGAAGTTTCCTAATTTTAGTGTCTACTTTAGATTCGGATTAAAATGTGTGATTTTTAGTAACAATTATTATTAAGAGTGTTTGGCTAGCCATTCCCCCCAGCTGTTTATGCCATCTCTGGTGAGAGGAAACATTTTCATTACCCTTTTATTAAAAATTAAGTTGAATTAGTTTTCTTAGAAACATAGCATCATGTCTGTATGCTTGTGGTAGAGTTTGTATAAATAGTACAAGTGTTTTGAGCCTTGAATTTTTATTTTGATCCTGGTCAAATTTGTCTAGCAAATTGTCTGAACTTATGCAATCAGCCATTTCATGTCAGAGTGCCCTAAAGCCTATTCTTGGTGCATGCTGTGTTTACTGTATATGAAGGGTGAGGAACTCAAATTTAGTAACAGCCTTTTAGATATAGCAGAGACACTGTGTTTGAAAAGAAAATTGTAAGCAGGGCATAGTGGTGCATGTCTTTAATCCCAGCACTCGGGAGGCAAAGGCAGGCGGATCTCAAGAGTTTGAAGCCAGCCTGGTCTCTAGAGCGAGCTCCAGGATAGCTGAGGCTACACAGAGAAACCCTGTCTCAAAAAAAAAAATAAAAAAAAATTCTTGATTTTTGTGGGTTATGAGGTGCACTGTGACAGACGGTGAGCTTCCGGAGACTGAATAGTACTTAGGAATGTATTCCTTTTCATTCGTTTAAAGGTTATGCACAAAATCTTGAAGTGCCCAACTTTTGTATTTGAAGTTCTTTGACTTTCTTACAGGAGTCTTTGCCATCCAAATTGTCTGATCCAGTGAAACTGCAAGGAAGAAAGGTCTTTGAGGCCTCTGTCTGTTGACTGCATGACAAACCCTAAAGGAAATGCCAGTTGTGATGGCCCGGGACCTGGAGGAAACAGCATCATCCTCAGAGGATGAGGACCTGGTCAACCAAGAGTAAGTGATAGCAAAGCCTTTAGTTTCTTTCACTGGTGTCCAGTATCCCTGCTTTGGTGTTGTCTGTCTGTGATTGAAGTCAGCATCATTTATGCACTTCCCATCAGCTGTCAGAAATGTGAAGGCTGGGCCATGTGTGTCCAGGCATGTGAGTGAATATCACCTTTAGATGTTGGAAAGTTTGGGCAGGAGCTTGGGTGAACTTGTCCCCCCCCCAGACCCCCTCCCCACTTTGCTTTTGAGGTAGGGTCTTGTTCCTATTGCTGTGCTCCCTTTACCTGGCTTTAAAAACTATTTATGGCCAGGTGGTGGTGGCGCACGCCTTTAATCCCAGCACTCAGGAGGCAGAGGCAGGCGGATCTCTGTGAGTGCGAGGCCAGCCTGGTCTTCAAAGAGAGTAGTTACAGGACAGCCTCCAAAACAATACAGAGAAACCCTGTCTCCAAAAAAAAAAAACCCAAAAAACTGTATTTATGTATTTTTAAAGACTTGTGTGTGCCTGCTTGAGTTCATGTGCACCATGGGCATGCAGGATCCCCTGAAGCTGGGGTTACAGAAGGTTGTAGCTGCTTGATGGAGTTCGAGGAAATAAACCTGGGTCCTCTGCAGGAGAAGGAAGCTCGCAGCTGTAGAGCCAGCTCTTTAGTTCCTGCATCTGGCTATTTTTTTAAAATCTTTTTATGTAGGTTTTGGGATTGAACTCTGGTCATCAGGCTTACGAACAAGTGCTTTTACCTGTGGAACCTTCTCCCTGGCCCCATTGTGTGAACTTTTTTTTTTTTACATTCATTTATTTTAGTGTTCGGTGTGTTGGGGGTGGGCACACATTGTGCATTGCATTGAAAGTCTGAAGGTAACTTGCTGGAGTCTGCTCTGTCCTTCCACCATGCGGCTTCTGGGACTTGAACTCATGTCAAGTTTGGTGCCAAGCACCTTTCACTGCAGAGCCATGTTGCCAGCCTAGTGTTAGGTTAACTCTTGATCGTAGCTTTTAATGATTTGAGATTTTGAAAGTTTTAAAGATTGGTGAAAAGTTATTTTCCTAAGCTCTGACCTTGACTATACTAGTTTTTACAAAGACTGTTACAGCTATAGAATGGTGATAATGTAAAGGTTCACAGCAACTGCTGTGAGGGTGTTAGGGTTCTGCAGCCTGTGGTGTGTTCACTGAACCACAGTGGCTTTTTGAGTTTTTTTAGGTTAAGAGTCAACTTTTTGTTATTTTGAAACAGGGTATCTCTGTGTAATAGTCTTGGTTGGCCTTGAACTCACAGAGATTCACCTGCTTCTGCCTCCTGAGTGCTGGAATTAAAAGCATGCGTCACACTGCTGCCGGGCAAGAGTCAACTTTCTTGATCGTCATAATGAAAATGATTAACCGTGCCAAGTGCACCTACTAGATATGGTGGAGTAGCTCATGTAATGTATAGATTGAAAGATTTTAATTTGAAGATGTTATTTTCTACTGTTAAACTCATTCTTACAAATACCAAAAAGCCTTGGAGAACCCTTACAGAGAAGAGATGGGTGAGGTCCAAGCTTAGCCCTTCTGAATTTTGAAGAGCTTTGCTTCTTGTAGTTTTACTTGACACAAAAGAGAAAAACTGATTTAATGTTAAGATAGCTTATTTAATTTATTTAGATATATAGTTAAGCTTTCATATATGTATACTGTATTTACATCATTCACCCTCTCCTTCCACTCTCCCTCTCCAAATTCATGTCTTTTTTATTATCCTTTTTAAATGTATACACACACATACGTATGCATGTATATTTGTAAACAAATAACTATATAAACACAATCTGGAGGTCAAGGTGGCCTGGAACTCCCAAGGTAACACAGGCTGGCCTCAAATGCATAGCAGTCCTCCTGCCTCAGCTTCCTGAGTGCTTGGGATTATAGGTGTGAATGAGCCATCACTCCTAGTTTAAGATGTGTTTCTTAGTCCTTTAGAATATGTACTCTATAACCCAGATAACTCCCAGGCTATTTTGAAGGCATGTGATTAGGCTCAAAAATCCCCACTATGTGTGGGATTACTTGATAAAGTCGTGAAGTACCATATAAACACAAGGCATTGGTTATTGTATTCGTGGTAGACTTTATAAGGTAGAAGATTATATTATTTGAAAAATAGTTGAAGCATTAATTGAGTTTTGAGAAAAGGCATATCATCACTGTGAGTTCATAGCAAATGATAGTGATTTGACAGTGTATTTGGGTCACTCGCTTTCAGATAATTAAATGTATTACTTTCCTTTCAGTGTACTGTCTTTTACTCATTTTACAAAATTTTAAATGGCAACCAAAATTGTTCTTTTACTCTATATCTTGTTTTTAATCACTCAGCAATGGGCTTTAGGTGGTGAGCATGGAATATCCAATATAACTCTGACTGTTGACTTATATTCATAATGGAGAAATGAGAAACATCTAGTAGATTTTATGGAAAATACAGACTTCTATTATTGATTCTTTTGTGGTTACTCCGATTTTATCAGCTTATGTGCTGGTCTATCAGATACTTGCTTTATACCCTGGAAAGCCGACTCACGGCTTTTGATGCTGTGATAAAACACTGTGACCAAAAGCATTGTGGGAGGAAGTGTTTATTTCAGCTTTTGTGTCCAGTCTATCATGAAGGGAAGTCAGGGCGGGAACTCAGAATCTTTCTTCACATTTAGAGCAGTAGGCTTACTTTTTAGAAGTCAGAAGGACTTACACTGTCTAAAGACACTGAGTTGTTGCGTGTCTGTCCATTGGCATCTGTTAAATCTGATCAGATCCTCAGGCTTTATTAAAGCATTAACCCTTGTAGTCCCAGACTCAGGGTTAGGGACACCAAACAGCCTCTCATTGTTGACTTCAGTTCCAACACTGGCATGCCTTTTGTCTAGGTGTGTGATGTTGATGCCTGAAGCTAACTGTGACTCTGTCCTTGTTTTCCATAGCACTGTTCAGCTAATAAGTATACAGAAACTATTCTGTAGCGTGGGCACCCCAGATACAAATTTATACATAGCCATGGACACTTCCATGTGAGAACTTGATGTAGTCACTGAAAAAAAAAGTTAGTGTGTTAATTTCTATTCTGCAGGGTGGCATTATGCCATTTAAAAGACCAGCAGCAAGGGAAGGCATTTTAGTGGGGCGCTGGTGTGAGGAAGGCACAGCATAAGGTGTTGGAGCTGCTTCCCGGCTCTGTCTCTGGAGTTACACAGGCTGCCTCCCAGGAGCTAGTATGTTCTTAGGATCTCATAGTCTGCCGCACAGTTGTCTGTCTCAGTAAAGATCGTTCACTTACATTGTTATGGGGCTAGAGAGATGGCTCTGCAATTAAGGACTTTGACTGCTCTTTCAGAAGACCTGGGTTCAGTTCCCAGCACCCAGGCCATAGCTTACAACCTTCTCTAATTCCAGTTGTAGGTGGTATGACTCCACCTTCTGGCTTCCAAAGACACCACGCACACATGTGGTACACACACATGCATGCTGGCCAACATTCATACATGTAACATGCAAATAGATAAACCTCCAAATACTTCCAAGTTTTATTTTCCTAATCATTTTGAGTTTTTTTTTCTCTTTAGCACTACTTGTCAAGAGTGTTACTGTTTTTATTTTTTAAGAGAACATGTTTATTTTTTTATTGAAATCGACCTCTATTAGACAACATGACTTTTTTTTTTTTTGGTTTTATGAGACAGGGTTTCTCTGTATTGTTTTGGAGGCTGTTGGTCGAGCCTGGCCTCGAACTCACAGAGATCCACCTGCCTCTGCCTCCCGAGTGCTGGGATTAAAGGCGTGCGCCACCACCGCCCGGCTTACATGACTTTTAATGACAGTTTAACATCTACCCGAACTGCTTTTTATGTTACTTTACTAATAGTCACCTTACTAATTTATTTCTTCTTTTGCCTTTTCATTGGCTGTGAGTGGAAAGAGGCTGTCAGGGATTTGCCTTCCACAGGAAGCCAGGGTCTTGGCTCTCTGCAGCTGAGGGGCTGTGCATTGTGGTGCTGCGGCACTCTTCACTGCAATGCAATCTATTGTCTGTAATGCGAAGGCGCAGTTGTACCAGTCTGTAGCTAGTGCCAGACTGCCAAGGACTTCTGGCTGCTTTCCAGACTCTCTGCCTCTTTTTCCCATGTCTGCTGACACAGAAGGAAATATAGTGTAGAAACTATTTAGAGAGAAGAGGAATCATGTGGGCCTATGCCTACATTTTACATGTATTTAAAATAAGAAACCCAGCGAACCACGCACACAAAATCCATATTGCGCCAGCAGCGGTGGTGCACACTTTTGATCCCAGCACTTGGGAGGCAGAGGCAGGTGGATCTCTTTGCGTTTGAGGGCAGCCTGGTCTACAGAGCGAGTTCCAGGACAGCCAGGGCTACATAGAGAAATGCTGTCTTGAAAAACAAGAAAACAAAACCAAATAAACACAACATCCATCTTGCTTAAAAAACAAAAAAAGACTCTGTAAATGCCATTTCTCACAAATGGGTATTGTAGTTTTTTTAAAAATTTAATTTAATTTTTTTAATCAACTTGAGACAAGTTAAGGTCATCTAGGAAGAAGGAGCTTCAGTGGAGAAAATGCCTCCATCAGATTGGTCTGTAGGCATGTCTGTGGGGCATTTTCTTGATTAAAGATTGATGTAGAAGGGTCTACTCCAAGGTGGTCTTGGGTTGTATAAGAAAGTGGACTGAGCAAGCCAGGAGGAGTGAGCCAGTAAGCAGTTGTCCTACACGGCTAGACTTCAGTCCTGCCTCCAGGTCCCTGCCTTGCTTGATTTTCTGCTTTGGCTTCCCTCAGTGATGGGCTGCTATCAAGACATGTAAGCTGAAAGAAAACCTTTCTTCCCAAGTTGTGTTTGGCCGTCGTGTTTTATCACAGCAATAGAAAGCCTACTTACACTGGCACTTATCTACCTCCAACACCAAGTACAGCAAGCATCCATGTTCCTTTTACCAGAAAACAGGCTGAGCTAGATAAAGTGGTTGCTTTCTCCAGTGTAAAGCTTCGGCAGCTCAAGGCAAGGCCCAAGGCTGCCCCATTTCTGAGACTGGTGTCCTGGCCAGGGTGTGGCTGCTGTAAGTTTGGATTGAGAAGGTATAGCCTGGCCCTGCAGTCTGTGGTCTGGCTTTTGTGGAGATGTGAGCCTTCTCAGGAAGTGAGTCTTAGAAGTGGCTCTTACTCCATTTAAGGAATGGAGTAGCTTAAATCCTGAAGGTTAACGAGCTGACTACACAGAACTATTGAAATGTGATTACTCAGCAGGCCAAGGAGAGGCAGTCACTGAATTCTCTACTCTGACAGTTGTATGGCCTCAGGCAAGTAACTGAGCTTCTGCTCAGTGTGGGCCAGCGGGTTAAGTGAAATAATGTGACAGTTCTGTTTAGTTACAAGTAGGAGGTAGGGACAGCCATAGTCATCCTTCAGCTGTTCGTTCAGATTTTGAGCTGTGACGTAATGGCTTCATTAATGTCTTATTATGCCTGTAGGGATCACCCATGTATCATGTGGACTGGAGGCTGCAGGAGAATTCCAGTTTTGGTTTTCCATGCTGAGGCTATTTTGACAAAGGACAACAATATTCGAGTAATTGGAGGTGAGTATAACCTCATCCATAAAAGGAAGATCTGGGCATGACCCTGACCACTTTAGAAAAAGTTAGTCTGTCATACAGGCAGAGAGGGGCCTTGGCCATGAGAACATGCATTGGGTTATTACTTGAAATATTATTCACAGTTTCTTAAATTGTTTCCTGAATTTCTCAAAATTGTGTGTTTATTTTCCCAATTGTGTTTATTTGCACTTACGAGAATTTACATTTCTACTGTTTTAGAGTGTACAATTAATTGGGGTGTAGTCATTCACATTTACCATGAGTGTCTAGTTTGAGGAGACTTTCATTCACAGAGTAAGCACTGTATGCATTCTCGCAGCCTTCTCTTTCCCTCTGTACTGCCAGGACTCTGCAACTACTAACCTTTCTGTTTCTGTGGACTTTCCTACTCTGGATATTTCATATAAATTAGTGGTTCTCAACCTGTGGACCTGTGGGTTGAGACCCCTATGTCAAACCTTTATCTCCAAAAATATTTACATTATGATTCATAACAGTAGCAATGAAAATAATTATGTGGTTGGGAGTCCCCACCACTTGAAGAACTGTATTAAAGGGTTGCTTTGTTTGTTACTGAGTTGTGAGAGCATTAGATCTTTATCAGATATATGGTTTTCATTTTCCCCTATTAGTAGGTTATTTTTGAAGGCTTTGCTTTCTGAGTTATTTTTTTCCTCAGTAGCAGGTTTTTAGTGTTGATGGCATCTGACTTACGATCTTTGTTTTGTATGCCTTTAATAATTGTGCTTGTGAAGCTACTGCCTAACCCAAGTTGAATTTGTAATGTGATTTATGGTTAAAGTTTTATATTGAGATCTGAACAGTCTTTGATTCATCTTGAGTTTGTTTTTTACAGTGTCAGGGAGAGTCTACCATCATTCTTTTATGTGTTGAAATATAGTTGTCCTAGCACAGTTAGTTCAAGAGAGTATTCTTTTCCTATTGAATGGCACTATTGTCAAAAATCTCTTGACTATCCATTTATCAATTTGTTTCTGTACTCTTAATATAGCATTAGTCTAGACAATTATTCCTTTTTATTGTTTTGTTTTTTGAGACAAGGTTTCTCTGTGTAGTCCTGGCTGTCCTGGACCTCACTCTGTTGATCAGGCTGGCCTCAAACTCAGATCCACCTGCCTCTGCATCCTGAATGCTGGGATTAAAGGCATGCACCACCACCACTGGCACTTTTAAATTATTCTTTAAAAATTATATATTTTATTTATGTGTCTGAGTGTTTTTCCTGCATGTGTGTATGCACTCTATGTGTGTGCAGTGCCCTTAGAAGTCAGAAGAGAGATGGGTCCCCCAGAACTGATTTAAAGATGGCTGTGAGCCACTGAGCTCGTGCTGGGAACTGGAGCTGGGTGCTTTGCAGACCAAGTGCTCTTAACTGCTGAGCCGTCTCCCAGTCCTGCCCCTGCCTCTGAGCTCTGGAATTGCATGCACAGACACACTCAGCTTCTTTTAAGTTTTGAAATGGGGAACGGAATACTTTTCTTCAGGATTGTTTTGGTTGTCCAAGTTTCTTTGCAGTTCTACCTAAACGTTAGGATTAACTTTGCCGTCTCTGAAGTACTGGCCTTTGAGGTGTGGGCAGATTGAGCTCTGAGTCCCAAGGTTAAACTGTAACTGTTTTTCAGAGCTCACGATGGTATGGATCTGCACTGTCAGGTGGTGTGGTAGAGTCCGTGCTTGGGTTCTTGGTCGTTAGTTCATGTCTCAGCCTGGGCATAAAGTAGTGCCTCTTGGCCAGATCACTTCAAGTTTCATTGCCAGTTTCACTGTTAGTTAAATGGGGACAGTCTGTGTCTCGCAGGCATCGTAGGATCAAATGAGATTGTTTGATGTCTGGTACATAACAGGCAATCAAAACTTAGGCCTCTTATTGCATTTGCTGAACAGGGGCTGCTCTATTTTTACATGACCTCGTAATAAGCAATTTCAGAGAGAACTGTGGACTTGCTTTGGGGATTTGAATGTTCCTCTCTTCCCAAGGGTCCTTGTGCTCTAATCCCCTCAGCGAGTTGCTAGGTTACCTCTTAAAGGAACAGGATTTATTCATTTTCCTCTAAGCCATTAAGACTGCTGAGAAAATCCCTTAAATATGATCTGACCAAATTACAAATGTGGGCAAAACCAGCAGAGGTAAATAAGTAATAATCCCCTCAAAATATGCTCTTTTGGTCTGCTTGTCCCATAACAAACAAACAACAAAAACTTTGTATTCCATGGCAATAAACAGACACCCCCCCCCCGCCACTTGGAGTAACTTCCATTTAGTGAAAAATAATAGTCATCAGCATTGTCATTCCACTGTTCAAGCTATTAGTGTTTTCTGGAACTCACAAGTCTTTTTCAGTACACATTTCCATAGATAAAGGTACTGGTGGTTCCTGTCTGTAACTAGCATTATGGAGGCTAAGGCAGGAGGATTTTCAGTTGGGGGGCAGTCTGTGCTTTGCAGCAAGACCAAACTAGAAAAACAAAGGAAGGAAAAATCTATTAAATTTGTCCCATTATGTATTATTAAATTTGTTCTTTATTTCCCTAAGTTCTTTGAGATTTATCTTTTTTTACCTTTTATGTAAATGCCAGTATTAATGACTTTTGCTAATGTATGCCTTTTTAAATGAACTATTGAATACAATTGATCTGTACTATTTTTCCCTGCTCTAAAATAGTAGGTCATATAGTCTGCTCAGTTCTTAAGTAGTTAAAGCCCTCTGAGAAGTTATCTGGGGCATTAGCTATGTCCCGCTGATCCCCCAGTGTTACATGCCAGCTTCACAGTTCTATGTATTTGTTGAAAGTTTTAATTTGGTTCTGTATGATTTCTATGCTTTTTTATTTCTCTCTTATTTGACATTCTAGAAATATGGCTTTTCCTTCCATATAACCCCTCCCTGATTGAATATACTCTCAATAGGATTGTTTTTTAGTGGTAACACACATATTTCCAACTGAAAGTAAATACATCATAGAATGGCATCATTGTACAATTGTCCCAATGTGTCCACTTAGTGGATTTGTATTTTTGTAGACTAGCACTGGAAGTGTGATGCAGTTTTAAATCGGAAAGGTGAAATTTGCTTTAATAATGTATTTTATTTAACCCAAGATTTCCCAGTATAATAATTTTTCACCTTTACTCTATAAAAAACTAACAGTATTTAAATTGAATATGCTTTTTACATTTACAGTGGTATCTCAATTTGGTATAAAATTCTTTCTGGAAGTATTTGATCTTTGTTTAGACTTCATAAATATTGTAGTTGAAACAGTAAATTCACAGAGTTTTTTCAAAGGTTTTTTTTTACATTGTTTGTCTGTGAGACAGGGTATCACTGTGTAGGACAGGCCCACTTGAAACTTCCCAGCCTCCAGTCTTCTTTGTGTTTGTGTTCTATGCTGGTATTGAGCCCCATGCTTTTGACCTGCAGATCATGTTCTCTACCCTGGCCTGTTTTCTAGTTAACCAGGCACCCATTTTATTTATGTATTTATATCTGATACAGAATTCCATATAGCCCACGCTGGCCTGGACCTTGCTAAGAGATGACTTGGAACTTCTGCTCCCTTACCTCTGCTTCCTCAGGGTTGGTGTTGGGGGAAGTCCTGTGCATTTGTCAATAAAGTACTGTTGAGCCTATAGGGAACCAAGATAGGAGGGACTAGGAGTCCAGGAGAACTCTGGGAAGGAGAAAAACAGGGAGTCGAGATGTAACGCCATTGGGGTAGGAAGCCCGGAAACCTCTCCGGTAAGAGACATACTTAGATTAACAATTATGGGGTAATTACTTAAGTCAGAGCTAGCCAGTAAGAAACAAGCAAGGCCAACAGCTTCATAATGAATATAGCCTCCTGTGTGTTTATTTGGGACTGATGCGGATCTGGAACCAGGCGGGCGGGAAGGCTCCTCTCAAGGAAAGCTTCTCTTAACAAAAGGTTGGGGTTTCAGACTTGTGCCCCCACAGCAGTTTAAGTAGTCCATCTTAAAAATTGTAATTTAGTCAATTAAAGTTAAGTAAAATAAAGTCTGGTCCTATGTCATTCTGGTCACATTTCAAATGCTCGTTAGTCAGATGTGGTTGGTGAATACTTTTCTGGACAACTCAGGTATAGAACTAATTTTCTGATGGTAGGGGACAACTTTACTGTGAAGCCATTGAAGAGTTTATTATGGTATCTTTAAAACAATATATATATATACATATATACACATACATATATATATAGAGGGGGGGGAAGTGGACACACACATGGTCAGAGGGCAACTTTCAGGAATTGATTCTCTCCCACTATGTGGGTTCCTGTGATTGAATTCAGATGGCTAAGCTCTCTTGCTGGCTGTCTTCATATGTTTTGGAAATCAAATGTATCATTTATATCTTCTTTCTAGGTCCCCATGCTGTAGCCTGGGTAGGTCTCACATTCTACATCCTCTTGCCTCAGGCTCCTAAGTGCTGGTATTTTAGGTGTACAACACCATTCACAACCCCATGCTATTTTTTGTTTCTTTTTCTAGTTTTTATGTTTGAGTGTTTTGTGTGTATGTGAGTATACTGTGTGTATGTAAAGTGTGGGTCTAGGCCAGGAGAGGGCATCAGACCCCTGAGTCCTAAGTTACCAGCTCTTTTTAGCTACCTTGTGAGAGTTGGGAACCCAACTTGGGTCCTCTGCAGGAACTGCCAGTATTCTTAACTGCATCTCCAGCTCTGCCTCATGTTGTTTTTCTACCCCAGCCCCTGGGATGTCATTGTCTAGGGTGCCTCTGTGCTAACAGTTGGTTCCTTATTTCTGTCTGCTCTGTTGCAGCAAACTTTGAACTTTACAGGGGTCCTAACATTTCATCTTGCTTTTTGGGATACCTGTGAGCATTTAGGGGAGAAGAAAATTTCAGTCTTATAGAACTCTTGTGAAAGTTCTTCAAAGATTGGCAAGCAGGATATTTGGTAATTTGCTGGTAGCCAAAGGATCAG